TTAAATATTGGTTTGAATCGTATAGGAGAATCGGCAGGAAAAGCACTGGCTGAGGCTCTATGCAAGAATACCACCCTTACTAATTTGAATTTGTGTGATAACAAAATAGGAGAATCGGCAGGAAAAGCACTGGCTGAGGCTCTATGCAAGAATACCACCCTGACAGAGTTAAATATTGGTTTGAATCGTATAGGAGAATCGGCAGGAAAAGCACTGGCTGAGGCTCTATGCAAGAATACCACCCTGACTAATTTGAATTTGCGTGATAACAAAATAGGAGAATCGGCAAAAAAAGCATTGACTGAAGCTGAAAAGACTCGAAATAGTTATATCTATATTAGATACTACTAAATAAATCAATAAGAATCTTGGAGTCACAAAGTTTCTATATTTTAATTTAGTCGCTTTGGGATCATTGTCGAGAAATTTAATACTTCACGCAGATTTTTTTTTATAATTTTAGGTACTTTGTGGGTAGCCGAGTTACACTCGTAAAATTTATTTAATAAGTTATGAAATGTTTGTTATATTCATTATGCAAATGTATACTTGACATAAATAATATATTGTTAGTTGACCAATATAACGAAAATTAATTTTCATATATATGACTCACCAATGAAGTGTTAGAAAGAAAATAAAAAGGATTATTTTTATGAACCAAAGTTCTAACGCTTCGTTAATATGCAATATTTATTATTCTTGAATTTAAGAGATACGCACAATTAAAAAAAGTTAAATCATTAATAGAAAAGTTATATATGGATATAGACTAGGGATTAAGTTAACGCCATGTAAGAAAAGATAAAATATTATCCAATATCTCGAAATTATGGACAGAACTCAGTACACTCAAAGAAATTATGAGAAATATATGAAATTTCGATAGCGCTTAATTTATATTTTGCGTGTATTAAATTTAAGTAGATAAGTGCTCGATCTGAATCGGAAATAGTAAATTTTAAATATGCTCGTCATAATAAAGTATAATTGTCCACTCCCCTAATCATATTAAAGAAAGCGAAATCAACGTTTAACTAAATACGTAAAATTTCTTTCACAAATTTTTAAAAAAGTATAAAAATCAAATATTTGTTTAATTTGCGTTAAAGAATAAATTTAGAAATTCAAATACTACGGACTTTAAATACCAAGTTCTATTCTCCGAAGATACTTTAATGTTCTCAAGAAATCCGATCGATACATACTAGATAGTGTTCAAGAACATTTATGGATTTATAACAGATCCTCGTTCATTTAAGCATTGCTTTCAAGTATCAAATTTTATAATACAAAGTTGATGGTTGAAGGTGACTAGTATAAACTAAGTTAGATTTCTAAAATCGAAATAGCGTTTACTAAATGGTCTAACAAACATTACCCACAATGGTTGCACGAGTTAGGTAAGAAAAAACATGTATGCTGTATCACATAATTATATCTTATCACAGATGTAGACGACAAATCAACATTCAAGGATGTCTAGTCTATGTTCCGCCACGCCAGTTAAAATTTCTCGGTTGTCGACAACCAGCTTCGCAAGACGACGGATCATAAATCCCCTTTCTATATCCCTATGCCTTCGCAGAACTTACGTTTACGTTTTGCAAAGACCAAAGAATCTCATAAGCTTAGGGACTTTAAAAGATAATGCAAAAGCAACCAAAGAGGTAGAAAAATACTCTCGTCTGCATCATGAAATCCAGGTTCTTTCCATTTACAGAGTTTTTACTACTACAGCGTAAACGTGTTAGCTGTAGACCTGCCTCGGGCCAGGGTAAAACTTGCGGTCGAGGTCAGAAAGGTAAAAAAGCTAGAGGTAAAGTAAGGCATGGTTTCGTGGGAGGCCAAACACTGATTACGTGAGCTTTTCCAAAACGGGGCTTTCATAATCCGTAATACTGTATATTCAATTCAGGAAGAGACTATTTGGTTTTTCTTTTTACATTCATGTTTACGATATTTTGATTTCGTGATTGCAGTAATTCGAAAGTCTGGGCACCCTTGAATCTCGATCGACTTCAGCATTGGATCAATATCGGTAGAATTGACCCCACAAAGCCAATTACCATGAGAGAACTTTTAGATTCAAGATGTGTACACGGGGTTAAAGACGGTGTCAAGTTATTGTCAGAAGTATACAATCTTATCTATACGTAATATCTGGAGTAATAAACCTTTTTGATCATTCATCACAAAAAACATAATCCAGGGAGCACAACATTTTACAACACCCGTTACGATTGAAGTAGCTCGTGCCTCTCGATCAGCAATCAAAGCAATAGAGAAGGTCGGCGGAGATGTCACCTGTAGGTATTTTAATAGGCTTTCATTGAGAGCTACTCTAATGCCCGAGAAATTCTGGAAGATCCCTAAGTTCGCTGACCCCGTAAAGGCAAAGGATAAAGGTAGGTTATTTTATTCTTACTGTCGTCCATTATATCAGTTCGCCTAGAAAATGAAAACTCTTCTTCTATTTATAGAATGGTATTCCAACACCAAAAATAGCGGTTACTTGGCGAAGAGACTTCTTGAAGTCACAAACTCATAAACTTGCGGTTTTATTGTGTGGAAAAGGGACAAGAAATTGGATGAATTTTGAATTGTCATCATGTAGATAATTAAATTTTTAGTTAGATTAATAATGCCATGTTGGGATGCGAGGCCGTCTAGTCGACCCGATGCTTTTGAAGTTTATAACATTACAAAAATGTATTGATTTGATTAATAGTGATGAACTTTCGGATTTTAAGGAACAAGTTAACGATTACGAAAGTGAAGTTTCGAAAGAATCACAAGCTAGAAAATTCTCGAGACTTAATTATTAAACGTACCCAAATGCTATTTACACTAGCAGACTCTTGAATTTTCAAATATATCCCAACCAACTAATGGTCCTAATTACGAGAAAGTACTTGAAATGTTGTCGGATGACTATGCGGGTGAATATACTATAAATAAATATAAAGTTTCTGCATTTCTGAATTTTTATTAACAATTCTAATCTCAAAACCTTATATAAAAGACTCAAACTTAGTTAACTTTGATATTTCGGATATTTAGGTATTTCGAAATGAATTTTGTAATCGCAACTAATTGCTTATTAAATTACAATCACAATTTTACTTCTATTCAATTTAGAAAATTATTCGGCTCATGAAAATATTTAAATATAACTTCGAAACAAAGATACAAGCTCATTTTTACGGTAGTCAAAAATGCCTACTCATACCATGGTACTGCATTTTAATATCGTAGTCAATCTTTAAACAAAAAAAAATTTTTTAATTAAAAAACTTTGTTTTATAAGTTGGTTTTGACTAATGGTGTTAACAGCAGACTATTATAGGCCGCAGAGGGGGTGTTCTTTATGCGTCACCTGTGCAGGTGCGCTTACAATGATTTCAAGTGAAATTTCCGAATTACGGAAATCCCTACGATATTACGTGTTTAATACAGTATAAGACCGACCAGATATTTTTCTATCGTTTTAATAAAATTTCTTAAAAACTAGAAAAATAATTTAAAAAATAATTTAATATGTTATATCAAATCTAGCTATTTACATCATATATTTAAATAAAATTGCTAGTTTTTAAGAAAATATACATAAACTAAAAAAAATTTACACTCAAAGGATCGTCACGAATTCATGAAATTTACGTTGATCATTATAAATATCTTATGGAACTATCATTGTTTTAATATAAAATAAAATAAAATTTCAAATGTAGAAAATTTCAATATTTATTAATAAATGTACTTCACTCGTTTCGATATATAATATTAAACATTACATCATTGTTACATTTTGTTGTGTTTTTTTTTTTTATATATATATGCGATCTTACGTATCTATTTGTTTTCTTTAGGCCGTTTTATTTTGGCAGCAGTTTGCGCTAAAAGAAACCTCTTTTAATGGTTCCATATTTTATGATAAACATGCTAATATGTCAGAAGATGGTTCTAATGCAGACGATACTAGACAGGTCGGAAATGAAAACTTTGAGGACTCAGATCAGAAACAGAACGAAAATGACTCTTGGTCTCCAACAGGCAAAATGCTCGACCTTCCTATCAAGATCCATAAAGGAAACTTGTTATCGCAGAGTGACAGATCAGCTATTCTTAAAAGCCAACCACGCAATTTCCTTATTAAATACGAAGCCCCAGCTATGGACAAGCATTTGTGAAAGCTTATGTCTACACAGTCTAAGGAAGTGGACAAACTATTTGCAAAAATTACATACAGAACGTCAGCCGCACTTCATTCTTTGGACAATAGCCTCAGAGCTACTTACAACTCAAAGCCTGATGAAAGCGATGAAGCCTTTCAAGCATGGCAATTTCTCGAACAGTCACTTAGAGATACTTGTGCACTGTTATTGGATTTACTTTCATTCACAAATGAACTTAAAAGACAGCACTTCCTTAAGGTCATTTCTCCAAATTACATTCCTACGCCAGAAAAAGAGGAGGTGTTTGGGGAGGATCTCAAAACTATTATCAGTAAAGAGAATGCTACAAATAAACTGTTCAATAAGGCTGCAGATAATAAGAAGCGTCAACAGTATTCTAGAGGTAATGGATCAAAATTGACGCAATACAAAGGTAACTCCCATTTTAGCTATGGGCGCAAAGGAGGTTACTCATATTACAATAATGCACAGAGATAGGGAAACAGAACCCATGGTGGCTCCAATCAAGGAGGCCGCCAATCTTATTACAACAACCAAAACACATCAACAGAATGACAAATTTATCAGTAGGAAGGAGGCTAAAGACCAATATAATGGGCTGGAATCAATTAACAAATTCATTTTGGCATGCACATATTATAAACGAAGATTTTACACCAGACTGGATTACACCTCCACTTATAAAAATCCATCCTATTAATATAAAGCAAGAGATACCAACAGAGTTAAATGTAGAAATTGGGAAATTACTTGACAAACAAGTTATAAAAGAAATAGATCCCTCAATTCCCTGTTTCCGATCCAACATATTTATGGTTCCAAAGAAAGATGAATCAGCAAGACTAATAATAGATTTAAGAAAATTAAATACATACATTTGATTTGCACACTTCAAGATAGAAAATATCGAGACAGTAAAACAGTTAATAAAATCAAACGATTTTTAACATCTATAGATATTCAGGATGCTTTTTACCACGTGTCATTATTCCATCAGTACAGTATTTTTTCTCTTTCAATGTTGGCAATAAATGATATCAATTTACTGTACTCCCATTCAGCCTTACTAGCAATCCAAGGATATTTACCAAAATGTTAAAATTCCTATTAGCATAAGCAAGAAGACAAGAAATCAAATTAGTAATTTATCTTGATGACTTGCTAATAATGGCACAATTAAAAAAGATAGTTGTAAAACATACAAAGTTAATATCTCAGATGCTAGGACAGTTGGAATTTGCAATAAACCTTCAGAAATCGAAACTGATATCCTCACAACAAATAGAGTTTCTGGGTTTTATCATAGATATAAGAAAAGTGCCATTCAGTCTTCCATTGCAAAAAATCAAGAACATAAGAAGAGAATGTTCGATAATTCAAAAGAGATGCAAGATTCACATAAGAAAGCTTGCCGCTATAATTGGAAAGCTATCAGCCACCATTGGTGCAATATACCCAGCAAGATTGTAAACTCGTGCATTAATTCGAGACAAAAACTTAACACTCAAGTATCAAGGTTGGAATACTTATCTGATGCTATCTAAGGAGAGTCTTTAGCAACTCAATTGATGGATCACCAAACTAAATGATTGGAATGGTGCTTGTTTTATTCCAGCACACCCTACAACAGTCATTTACACAGATGCATCATTGACAGGATGGGAAGCATCTCTAAACAACAGAATCATCTATGGGCAATGAAACACAGATCAAAAAAAGCTGTATATAAATATATTGGAGTTAAAAGCGATTCACTATGCAATTTTGACTTTTAAAGAAATCAACAGCCAAACTCTCTTAATAAAGTCTGATAACATCTTAGCTATAGCTTATCTGAACCACCAGGGAGATACAATATCACATATATTGAGCAATCTATCAGAAATAATTTGTGAAGTTTATTTATAACAAAAAATCAAATGATGACCTGTGGGTCAATAGCACAGTGGTCAGTGCTCCCAGGTCCAGATCACAAGATACCGGTTCAACCCCAGGTGAAGGCAGTTGAATAGAATTAATATGGTATCCAGCGCCATGACCTGTTAAGCGCTGTTTAAGCCAATTCACACGCTGATCTGAGCGGGCGTCAAGAATGTGATCTCCAGAAAAGGTGTCGTGGCGCGACGATCGTCCGGTTGGTGTTACGATGATCGCCGAAAAAATGGAAAGAGGTACGAAATATCCAAGATGGAACACGTTGATGTGGCAATTCTTCCTGAAAAGACACGTTGGTGTGACGATCCTTCCTGAAAAGCATATGGTATCCCTCCCTGAAAAGTCAAAGATTTATCTCTATAAAAGTTTCTATGAGCCGCAATAGGTTACGGTAGTACAATACACAATGAATAGGGTTACGATAGGCAATAAATAGAATTGAATAGAGTTAAATATAATTCAGAGTTATAAGAAGTGTCAGATATAAAAATAACGGTGGCAGACTTAACCCGGATGGTCGAAGTTACCTGTGGGTGGATTCTAGTTAATATAAAATTAGTAGTAGTTTAAAACCTCTGTATTCATATATGTAAAAATTCTATACTAAATAAACTAGAGTAAAGTCTCACTTAGCCGATTAAAAAAAAAAAAAAATAACAAAAAATCAAATTGATAGCACAATATATAGTAGGAAAAATAAATTATCTGGCAAACAATACATCGAGAATGAAATTAAAACAACAGAACTGAAAACTGAATCCAGGACTCTTTTATTAACTAGCAAGAAAGTGGGGTCCTTTTTCAATAGATCTATTTGCGAACAGAATAAATGCATAAATAAACAATTATTATATAAAAGTTTCAGATCTATTAGCATTAGCAACTGATATCTTGACTCAACTATGAATCAGGGGAATCCCGTGGGCAAATCCACTATGGATTCTTATTTCCAGAATATTAGACAAAATAGTGAGGGATCAAGCTTTGCTTTGTTTAATAATTCCTCTATGGAGAACAGCACCTTGATTTCTGAGTTTATTGGATCTACTAACAGATTATCCAAGAATGTTACCAATATATTAGCTGTTAGATCCCCAGATAATAGGCCAAATCAGTCTTATACAAAATTCACAATGGCAAATATTCGCTTGCCAAGTATCAGAACTAGATTACAAGCAAAAAATTTCTGGAGAAAGCTATCAAGATGGTGGAGAACTCAATGAATGAAACATCAAATACATCAGTAGGGTCAGCAATCAACAAGTAGTATATTTGGTATAAGGAACAAGAAGTTGATCATATTCTTTGCCCTATAGAATCAATTATTCTTTTTCTCACAATGCTTCATAAACAGTACAAAACCTACAATACAATTGCAATGATAAGATCAGCAATTAGCAAAGTTTATGAGCAAATA